CCTACCTATATATCTATATATCTATCTTCTATTAAAATTCATGAATAAACACTAATAACTTCAATTTCAATCCACTAGTGAACAACACAGGGTTCATTTTAGCTTACTCCCTTTCCATATTTATACTTATCTAACAGTAAGAAACTGGTTATCATTACCCTCAATATATTTACTATCTCTCTCAATTACCTTAAATGTAGCCAAATGTGTTAACCTTCATGACTGCCTCTCCAGTTAGATGCCCTTTTTTTATGAACCCTGTGCCCCGTAGTGGCCACATCTCACTCAGAAACCCTCCCTGGAGGGTCCTGGCACAGGTTGGGTTGTTTTATCACCATACTTCATTGATGTTTCTATCTCTCTCTACCTCTCCCTTCCTCTCTGAAATCAATAAAATTATGTTAAAAAATAAATCAACAAATAACAAGTGTTGGTGAGGATGTGGAGGAAAGGTAACACTTTTGCACCATTGGTAGGATTTAAGATTGGTGCAGCCACTGTGGAATCAGAAAAAAACAGGAAATCATAGCAGGGTAAGAAATTGGCATTATTAATGGAATGATACCAGTGTACTTTTTTATTCATTGAAGTTAATGGTGATGTTTTCTTAATCTTTGATCTTAGAATCTATAAAGAAGATTACATAGGAGCCCAAATATATGGCTTTATAAATGGGTCTCACAATTTACTATCTCAAATGCATATATATATTTGAAAAGTCTTGGCTTCCACTGATGCAACATTTAATACCAATGATCACAAGTGATCCCAAAGTCAATATTGATATGTATATTTTCATATGAAGAAGGTGTGTGGAGATGTCATGTAGCTAAAGATTAAGTTTAGCAGATCATGCAGGTATTTATTTCAATACAGCATATTTTTACATGTAATGACCCTCATGAACTGATAAAATTTAATTTCTTTGTGAAAATTAATCACTGAAATAAGAGATAATATATCGGAGATGTTGCATAGTCATTTACATCGTGGGACTACATATAAAAGGAAAAAAAGAATGCACCAGGGGAAATAGAATGCAGGAGAAATCTTAGGGATTACAAATACCACTTAAAAATTTATGAAGATTTTGAAGTCTAGAGCAGTTCTTATGTCTCAACCATTAAAAATTTTTTTATAGCTTTGATACTTGAAAATGAAACATTTGGAAAGAGAGGAGATTTTCTTTCCACAGAACTAGGCTAGGTGAGTAAGCAGACTTGGAAGCCTTAAGATGTTAGTAGGAAAAATAAAGTAGTTATCCATCTACCTGTTTTCTGTCCCATGCCCAAAAAGATTCATTTTAGAAGTATTTTTGGGTGTAGCACTGTCTAAAACCAAATGAAATTATGCAGGATTATTTTCCAGATGTTTTGAAGGAGCACAATTCTTTTAAAGCACTGAATCTCAAAGTGTGATCCCTGTACCAACAGCATGGCATCACCTGGGAACTAATTAGAAATATTAATTCTCAAGCATAACCTCCAAAGTACTTAATCATAAATTCTTGGAGCGGTCCCACCAATCTAAAAGACACCAATATGGTGATTACCAGGGAGAAGGGAGTTGAAGAGAGGTAGGATGGTGTAAATGGGGGATAAATGGTGATGGAAGGAGACTTGACTTGACGTGGTGAACACTCACTACAATATACAGACAATGTATGATAGAATTGTACACCTGAAACCTATGTAATTTTATTAACCAATGTTACTCCAATAAATTCAATAAAAAAGGAAAAAAAGATAACATTTTCTCCTCAAACATCCTTAATAAATATAGCTAAGAACTTAGAAGTTATGCTTGTCTAATAAGTCTTTAGAATCCTAAAGAAGTAAAGCTAAAGACTGGATGCTAAGAAAAAGGACAAATAAAGAAAAAAGACTGGAGTGACGTAATATAAAAGCTGAAAGAGCCTACCATAAGTGTAACAGGCAAGGGCAGCAGCTTAGACAGTGGGCAGCACCCCCAGGGCCAAAGTGAGACTTATGAGAGGTACTGTAGCAGCAGCAACAACAGCATCATAGTTGTCGTCGTCATCATCGTCATCATCATCATCATCATCAACCTCATCATCATCTATTGGCTGAGAACACATGAGCTCCAGACACTGAGCTAGGGACTTACATAGATCATCCAATTTAATACTTAGAATAAATTCAGAGGATTTAAAATTTTAACTTTACCTGTATTTTACATATGACAAAACTAAGCCTTAGAGAAATTAAATGGTTTACCCCCATATTTATTTAAGTAGCAAGAAGGAAAGTTGAGATTCAAACTAGGCAGTGTGAATGAAAAGCCTATTTTTAAACTGCTATTCTTTAGTGATATCTCATAGCATGATGGGTATCCTCAAAGGGTTGGCAGAGAAAAATAGTACAGTAGCCTATATAATAAAAAGCTAATATGCAAATCAACCAAATGGCAGAATGACCAGTCACTATGGCATGCACTGACCACCAGGGGGCAGACATTCAATGCAGGAGCTGCCCCCTGATGGTCAGTGCACTCCCACAAGGGGAGTGTCGCTCAGCTAGAAGCCAGGGTCACGGCTGGAGAGCACAGTGGTGGTGGTTTGGCTCCAAAGTACTCCTGAATTCTCTGTGTGACCTTGAACAAGTAACCTACATTTAATGAACTTCTGTTTCCTTATTTACAAACCAAGGGATATAATTAGATTGTCCAATTTTATTCAGTATAAGGCAATATAAAATTTCTAGTGTGGCCTCTAGTGGCTTTCCAATGACATTAAAAGTACAGATATTCATACCTGTAAAGGTATTGATATTGATTGTGTAGCAATCTATACTAATAAAAGGGTAACATGCAAATTGGTCAGGATGCACTCATAGTAACAACTGAACAGGAGGCTGCGTGGGGCGACCAGGCTGGTAGGGAGGTTAGGAAGGGACGACCAAATGACTGAACAGCAGGCTGTGTGGGGCGACCAGGCTGGTAGGGAGGTTAGGAAGGGACGACCAAATGACTGAACAGCAGGCTGTGTGGGGTGACCAGACCAGCAGGGGGGGCAG